ACCTTTTGGGCTCGGCATATCAAAAATTTGGAAAATGCCTAACTTGACTCTGCTGGCATGTTCCCCCCCTCCCCCGCACAAAAAAGAAAAAAATCTTTTAATATTCATTTATTTTTAAAAATACAGTCCAATCATGTGTGGTGCTATGTATTATATAAAGAAATGTCAAATAATTACAAAAATGAAATACCAGTAAAACAGTTTCTTTGGTAACTCAAACAGAGAAAATAGTTGTTATCAGGTGTTGGTGAATGCCGGCTTGTCACCCAAAACATTGTGGCATGTCACCTTTGACACACGTGTCATAGGTTCGCCATCACTGATTTAGATCCATCTCATGAGCCGCCTTATTGGCACAGCAGCTAATCCTGAGCAAACTGGACACAAGGACAAAAAATCCACCAACAAGAATGATCCAGCAGGAATGCTACAAACCCCATTTTGTGTAGTAAGTAATGCTGCATAAGAGACCTTATGTGACAATGGCAGTTGAGGAACAGGATCATATGGCACTGTTTTAGCTATTTGGATAGTGGTGGTTGAACATTAGCTTTGCCGGCAGGAAACTGTAGCTCAACAACATTTTGAGCACTGTAGTTTCCTCACCATTATGGGGAAGGCCAAGACACATAGACAAACCCTACTTGTTTTTAACCATGGACAGAGGCTTTAGATACAAGTTGTAACACTTCTACACCTACAATTAGGAAGCTTATATATTGTACTTGTGGGAGATAGAGGCCCTGCTGCCAGAGGTGGCTTTGAAAATAAATAAAACACAGAGAAATTGTCCCCAGCAAGAACAGAAGAGTAACAGCAGCAACAAAAATAAGCTTAGGACACAGGTATGACTTTCCCTGACACTGAAAGAAATATGATTATTGGTGGCAAATGTATCTCCAGTGAAAAGAATTCCACGCTTGGAACATGACTACCAGAACATTTTCTTGTCCTACCTGAGATGGTAAAAGCATCTGGAGGGGGAAAAAAACCCCAAGCATAATGTTGAAATGGATTCCTTGCCACTGTAACTCCCGTGTAATCACCGCCATCAAGTGTTCTCTTGCTGCAGATGAAAAGAAATGGAAAGTCTCCAACTTCTGTCCTTTCCCAGCCGGCAGAATATTTCTACAATGCTACTGCTGATGTCTATTTTGTATTTTAGGCCTTATCTTATCAGAGGGATTGCTCCACCAACTACCCCCTGCAGCACAGATGTATGTGATAGTGACTATACTACAAGCCGGTGGAAAGCCAACAAATACTACATCGACTTAAATTCAGACTCAGATCCTTATCCTCCTCCACCTACTCCTCGCAGCCAGTATATGTCAGCAGAGGAGAGCTGCCCACCCTCTCCAGCTACCGAGCGAAGCTACTTCCACCTCTATCCCCCACCTCCATCTCCTTGTACAGACTCTTCATGATTTTAACAGAAGGGACTTTTTTTTTGTAAATATGTTTTTAAATATGAACAAAGATTTTAAATATATATATTTTATGATCTAAAATGGGGTGGGAACTTATAAAAATGTGAATAAAAATGGGTGGGCCTGGGCTGTGAAAATTGTACAGCAAAGTGATATTTATGTTGATTTTTTTAATTTAATATCCATTCTTTTGTGCCATATTTTGCCTTTGCATTGAAGTCACAACATTTAAATTGACCTCCAAAGGAGGTGGGAAGCAGGAAATATATGCTTGAAGCATTTTGAAATCATCATTTGATTCAATAAAGGGGAATGTGCCAAGTTCTTTTAAGTAATATAAAAGGCAAGAAGAAATATTATGAATGAATGGTGATGTTATTTGAAATACATACAAGGGAAATTCGTGTGCGTGTGTGTGTATGAATACTTGGTCCTAGGTAATTAACCACAAAAACGGACTTCCTCTTGGAATGCTTTCCTTTGTGTTGTTCCATCATTCACTTTCCAAAAGAATCAGTGTGTGAAAAAGTAGATGTCTGGAATTTGTGTTAGATTTATTACAGTACAGGTAGTCCCTGGGGTTAAGAACGCCTGAGTTATAGACAACCCATAGTTAAGAACAGAGGCTATTATAGCAAAATTTGAGTTACACAGTGATTTGAGTTAAACACATAATGGTTCTAGTTCGTTACACAATACTACTTATACAGTATTATACACTAATACTGTTCTGGCTTACATATAAATTTGACTTAAGGACTCACCTTGAGAACAGAACTCGTTCTTAAACAGGGGACCATCTGTATTAATTATGAACTATTTCTCCTCCAGTTAAAATAGGCATTCAATCCTTTTGGACACCTTTGTACACATCATACTTCTATCAAGAGTCTGTCAGCTTCAATACACTGTCTTTCTCTAAGGGTCCCCAATACAGTTCAGCAGATTTGGGGGCAGGGGTAGGGAAAAGAGGGGGGGGGTGGCCATGGTAGAAATAGAAATGGAAAGTTTAAAAAACTAAATAAATTTTCTGAAAGATTACTCTAGAAACATATAATCCCCTAGAACTCTCTTTTTCTCTCAAACCCAATGAAAATTCCTAGTTTGATTTTTGTTTACAAAAATTAAGACACATTTCACCAATTAAAAATAGTTTAATTTAAAAAGAGGTTGTTGAATAGCAAAATTAAGTATAAGCTCCAGATTTAGGCATTTGAATATTTCTTGAATAGGCATCGACCTTGGCCCCACCTTCCTCCTCCTCAGTTGTTTTCTCATTTTAAAACACAATGTACACTGCCACCATCTTTTCCACCCGAATCCAAACTTAACCTTCTCTAATCTTGTATATAGCATGTTAGTGAAAGCACAGGAGTAAGGATAAGCATAATCAGAGACAATTCAATAAAAGATTTTATTTGGAACACAACCCAGAAAGAAAGGTGCTTTTCATCACAGGTTAGGAAGAAAATGAGCAACACGTCTTGCGTTACCAACTGTGCCTGCACTTTCCCTGTTTGGTTCAATTGCCTCACACAAAATGTTTGAAAGCTTGTAATATTATGAGACTCTGATGTGGACAAATAATGAAATATGATTGGAAAAAGGGGGGAAAGCCAAAATTACACTATGTTTTCACAGCTGCAAAACAGCAGGTGCAGCAGGCTTTTGACAGTCATAATATCATTGACCAAGATGAAAATGGTTTCTTTTTGAATTGATAGCTGGGTTTCCAGCAAGTATTTCTGGCAAAGTGTGAGGTGCTACCCCTCCAATCCCTGGCCACTATTTCCAAGCTTATTGACAGGGTGGAGGTTGATTTCTGTTGTTTTTGAATACGTTCCTTACATCAGTCTGTTCAAGATTGTTTGGGTGTTGTGGTTTAATTCTGAGGAGCTGCAACTAGGACCTCTGAGTGTAGGAGAATCACTTCTAATCTCTCAAGAAACTTGTATTTTACAGTCATGCCATTTTACTTCTCTTTCCAAGTTTAATATGTGAGAGAAAAAATTAGAATTATTTGTATGCAGAAATACCCTACTCCTGAAAACTTTGGGAGGTTGAAGAGGTCTGGGTGTACTGCCTGTGTGTCTAGCGCAAAAATAGTCCATAATAATGCATCTAGTTTGCTCAGGTCAAAAAACATAACATACTAATTTTAAATCATAATAACATACTGATTTTTTAAAATATCCTTAACTCTAGTTGGGTGGGAAGGCAATAAAGCCAACTCTAGCTGAGTTATAAATAAAGCTTGTATGTGTGGGGTGTGTGTATACATACACCTACATAGTTGTCGAGAGATTTGCATCCACTTATGTAATTCTCTTGTAATTGCATTTAACCTTTTGTGTGGCATTTATAAAGAAGATGCCTTTTAATAATTAACCTTATAGGTTTTGTTTTACTATTGCCAGGTTTCTGTTGTCTAAAAAGAGGCACTGCACATTAAAGGTTTGAATAAGCAGTTTATCTTTTAAAAGAAAAGTGAACAAGCATTGGTGATGTTAATCTGCTTGCTGAAAAAATGTACTGTATTCAATGGTGAATTGGATACTTTAAGCAGTGAAAAAATAACTAGTACTACTGATGTGAACAGAGTTCATACAGTACTATAATACTTATGGTTATAATACTTATATCCTTATTATTTTGCTTGCTGTCGTAAATCTGTTAATCAAGAAAATTATATGTTCTGTTTTCTTGATTAACATGTTAATTGAGAAATATCCCACCAAGTTAAAATAAATTATCAAATCTTTACAGGACTGGAGTTGTTGAATTTCAGGCAAGTGGAACAATGTATAGAGTCAAGTAAAGTGCTCCTGCTGATAGAGCTGATTCAATCAGCAGAAGAACTACTTCATGTTCTAAAAATTGAAATCCTTCAAATCATACATGGGCAGACAGGACTACATGAGGGAGCAGAGTAGGAGAAAGTTCTGTTGATCAGTAGATTTACACTCGTGCAGCATTAGTTCCAAACTTGTTACATTGAATTCCACCGAAGCTTTAAAAGAAAAAGTAACAGAAATATCTTACAGAGAAACAATGGTCACATTTTCATTTTTTTAAATTGATTTTTTTTTCATTTTAAAATAATGTCACATTTTCATTACTTTAGGTCATTTCCTTCTCTCCAATCCAGAATTTTAGGGAAGATATCTGATATCAGTAGTACTCTGGGCTATGGTAAAATCCATTTCTGTTTTGACACAGGTCTCAGTGAATCCCATAAGAGAAAAAAAATACAGTTTACCAAATCATGAATCAGTTAGATTACTGTAGAGATTATAATTTTTACAAGTTTTTTTTTATAATATTTTATTGAAATTTTAAAATTACAAAATTAAAAGTTAGAAATGAAAAAGAAAATGAAAAATACAAATTATAAGGGAAAGGAAAAGAAAACGTGAGATAAAGAAGAAAGACATGAAAAATAGATAGCTTCCAATCTATGAAAGGAAAAGAAAACGTGAGATAAAGAAGAAAGACATGAAAAATAGATAGCTTCCAATCTATGAAAGGAAAAGAAAACGTGAGATAAAGAAGAAAGACATGAAAAATAGATAGAAAATTACAAAATTAAAAGTTAGAAATGAAAAAGAAAATGAAAAATACAAATTATAAGGGAAAGGAAAAGAAAACGTGAGAT